ACCAACTGAGTTCAAACTATGGACAAGGAGAACGCCATATTCATATTTTGATTGTTTCCACTCTAGGAAACAATTGGATGGTGGATGAATCTCGTTGTTCCGAATAACAAATCTGGAGATTGGATATCGACAAGAACATTTCTCAAATCTCATGTTCGGATGTGAAACAGAAGTGTTCACAACGTCCGAGGATCTAGTTTAGAAGTAGAGGTGACAACTCAAATGAATGAGAGGAGCTTGAAGGTATGAATACAATAGTTAAGAAATAAAAGTGGGAGTCATTCATCCTAATATCAAATAACAAAAGATAATCAATAGGTTTTTGTGTTATCCGTAGGAGCAAACGGATTTGGATCAGAGTAGATCGATAATTGTCAGCGGCAGTCATAAACTTTCACACCAAACTAGAAATCTTGGCTGTTTTTACTTCAACAATTCATTTTCATATTTTTTTATACTTATTCTCTATATTTTGTATCATTTTCAAGTTTCCTCACAACAAGTTATTTCGTATGAAAGAAAACGAGCGTTATGAGAGAATCCTTTCATGTCATTTTACTTTTCTGTCAACTAACAAAGTACAGAACTGAAACTACAGATATTCGAAAACAGCCTAACTTACCTTAATTTTATATACAACGATATCCTATTAATAGTAATCTGTAGGATATGTAGCGGACACATCTGAAAACATACAAACAAATACCTTCCAGCGATAACATAATCATAAGGATAAGTCGAACAGTACAACGACTCTCATCAGAGAAAATATATTGTTAAGCCTATCGACGGCAATGCTCATGTAAACTGTATCTAATTAAATAACAAGGTATGACAAGACCACGAACGGATAATTTGTCTTCAGAGAAATCCAGAAGCACCAACATCGCAATTGTTCAGTTTTTCATCTCTTTTTTCAATCATGTTGGTATGGTAGATTGTAAGTAATACTCCTGAAGTATAAATCAAACTTCAAAAATTTTGTGCAGTGGAGATGGAGATATCAGACGAGCGTAAGCGTTTTTCCATATTGGCTAATTGACACAACACAGATAAAAAAAAAATTTATCAAATTTGAGCAGCAGCATTAAAACTTGGAAAAGATAGTTTTTGAGAGATCAATAGTTTTTTAAACCCGTGTGTTTGAGAGTTTTAGAGATCAAGAACTGGAGATCAAAATTAAGTTTAGAACTAGAATTATTATTGTATTATACATTTGTTAGGTATCCTTGGATTGCAGCAGTTAAGTCGTTGGAACCTAATATATAAAGCATGAAGTTAACGAAAGAAAACAGAACTATACTTGTTAAGCCATGAGGAGTTAGCATTCGGAGCACCTGGCATTGGTGGTAGTAAGTCCAATTCGTCAGATAAAGAATCACCGTCATGATCGAAAGAATCAGTTAATCGGCTGCATTCTTTTTGGCTACCAACGGCTTCTAAAGGCAATGAGTATTGCATCTCGAGTAAGAAACAAGCTTTACGATGAGAGCGTGTGTTCTGTCTGTTATCCTCTGGAGCTCGATGATTTTCCTCTTTTTCATCATCGCTGTCTAACGGACAGTCAAAGAGTCGAGACTTTTCCTCTTCTTTCACAGGTAATCTGAGAGAAAAAAAAGTGAAACTCGTAGCTTTAAATTGTATTTACTGATTTCTTTCAATATCTCGCTGATCATCTTCCTGATCATCCAAAGTGAAGACGTCAGTATCTTCAGCAAGAATTCGTGGCATTCCTAAACGGAATAGGAAATGAGGCAAAACATAAAACACAAACCTGATGTCTTTATTTGGTACTTAACATATCCGTTTGATGTGGCAGGAGCAATGGATGATACATTCATGAACTGCAAGCAAATTAATGAAAGTTAAAGAAGACTGAACGAAAGTATTTCGAGAGTGAGCAACTCCGTATTCACTATGGTCAACTTAGAAGAAACTTTATTGGATTCGAGATATGTAAAATAAAAAACTAAAATATTTCTTAATAACTTTTTTTTATTTCGAAAGAGTGAAGTGCTTCTTCAATGGCTGCCAATCCTTATAATAATTCTCATCAACGTTTTCGATTTGAGCCCAGTTAGTAATTGCCATATTTAGAGAACTTTCAAACATAAACGACTGAAAAATTAAATTGGAAGCAGTGGAGAATAGGGTGATTTACCATTGTTCCATCAGCAACACGAGCAGGTTTCAATTCATCGTTAGAGGCTTTCTCGAAACATGTGTAGTCAGGACCATGAGGGGTCATGATAGAGTGGAGCGATCCTCCTATAATTAGTGTTAGTTTTTCCCCAAAACAAAAATTTCTGCAAACCTCCTGGACGGAATCCTCCTTCTTTAGCCTCATACACTCCAGAAATTAATCCCATGTACTCAGACATACAATTTCTATGATAGTAAGGTGGACGGAAAGTGTTATCAGCTACACCCCATCTTGGTGGGAAAATGACAAAATCAGCTATGGCTGTGCCATGCTTCACAGAAGGAGCTGTCAGAACAGTGAAAATCGAAGGATCCTGCATATATTGAAAATCATTGTAACTAGAATAGCAAAGTAGTCTTACACAATGATCGAAGGAAACTGTGTTAATGACATTGAAATGCCGCAAATCGTAACGGAAAGGAACATAGTTTCCGTGCCATGCAACAACGTCGAATGGAGAGTGGTCCTTCAATACGTTCTTGATGCCAAAATGGAATATTCAAAAACCTGTTCAGCTTGGAAGAACGCTCCCTGATATTTGCTGATTATGGTGAATGGCTTGTCAACATCTTCGAACCATGCAACGGGAGTTTCAAAATCACGTGGATTAGCTAGGCCATTAGCTCCTTAAACAATTGTCGTTCGACTGAATTAGAAGCAATAAGAACGTACCGATGGGGCCCAAATCTGGTAATTGGAAGTGTGTTCCATATACTTCTAAAACATATCCACGAGAAGGTCCTTTGACTCCTATAGAGAACCGGATTCCTTGAGGAATAACTATGATCTGCTGTGGCTCAACGAGCAGACGTCCAAATTCAGTTGTAACTTCAAGAGATCCTTGTTGAGGAACTGAAAATGGTCAATTTATAACAAATAGTCAACGGAGATTCGCATGAAGAATTCAAGTTGAAAACCGAACCAATTAGGAAATCTCCATCAGCATTGTAGAATGCACGGGAGTTCATCGAAGAATTACAAGCATAAAGATGAACTGATAATCCACTGCGTGAAATAACATCACCTCCACCGCATACTGTGTAGAGTCCCTATATGTGTATAATTATATTCACGTGAATGATAACAAAATATGCGCTTACGTCTACGAAATCGACATTCTCAGATGTGGGGAGGGTATGAGGATGCCAACGGAACTGATTTGGATTTGGCAAACAGTTCGAGAAAGTGTTTGTAAAACTACCATACTGCACACGTGAAAATGGACGATGAACAACAGATGGTCGAATACGATAAAGCCAACTGAAAATAAGAACATGAAGTGTTGTTAAACATAAGCAATAATACTCAACAAAAAAAGACAACAGAATAAAACTAAAGATTACAGGAAATATTCAAGTAATGAACACTTGCATTTCATGATGAATAGGATATAATGATTAATTAAATAAGTTCATTTCGTCATATCTCTATTCTTGGAAATACGTATATGGTGAAATTATAGAGAAGGATCATAAGAATTCAAGAGAGAATGCAACCGCTCTGAAGTGTAAGCTGAAAAAAATGAAATCTAACATAAACTAAGCGCGAAAAGAATCAAATTTGAATAATGAAATCTTTTGAAACTACAAAAAGATGGGTTGAGAAAGATGATTGAATTAGGGACACAGATGGTGTTTAACAAGAGAAGCTTCATATATTATGTAAACTAATTACGTACACTTATGTGTATAACGGTGATTTACCTGCGTTGGTTGGATACGCGTGGAGCTGTGAAAGCTGTTCCACTTAGTTGCTCAGCATAGAGGCCATGAGGGCATTTCTGTTAAGAGAAAAAAAAATGAATTTTTGAGGAGGAACAAATGGTGTTCGTAAGTCTATTAATATTTCGAAAGCGCTCAACTGACCTGAGGAGAGTTGCGTCCGACTGGTAAGGCATCGGGCACACGTTCATCGGCTGAGGCAAATTCATTTCCAAATCCGGTTTGATACTTAAGCTGTAAAAAAACACGAATAAAGAATAGATTCTAAGTAATAATAAGAATTATAAATATTCAAATAGCGTAATGCACATGAAATGATCGCCTGACTGAGTGAAGATGAAATTCGAAACTTGACAAATATGTCTAAAAAGCCTTCAGAAATGACTTCATTAAGAGAGAATATTAAGCCTAGAAAAGTTTATCTCATGAATGTCGATTTTATCGAACAAGGAACTCATTTCATTGGCAATGTTTTTAAGGCTTTCCTTTGCAATTTATGGAAAGTTTTACATTACTTGAAAAGTATAGAGAAACTCAAAGCTGTTGAAATTTCTTAACAGAATATTCGAAGAAAACAACAGACACGAACAGAATGGAATGAGTGTGAGCGAAATGAAACGAGTGTTCCAATGAAATCCCCTAGGAAAAAGCTGTGGTTTATGAATGGCATAAACCACATGAAACATCTTACAATGTCTAGAGAGGACATGAAATGAATGAAAATGAGAGAAACAGAAATAATGCAGAGAGAGAGAGAGAGAGAGGGAGAGAGAGATAGGGAGAGAGAGAGAGAGAGAGAGAGAGAGAGAGAGAGAGAGAGAGAGAGAGAGAGAAATGGATTGAAGAGAGAAGAGAAGAATGACGAGGCCCCAAAAGGGAAAACACGAGTAATTGAGTGGAATGAATTATTAAGCTTTTGTCAACTGATGTTCTATGTGCTAAGCAAACGGACATTAGAATTTCCGAGTTACTGGTGGCTAATGAAATTTCATTTGAAATCCTTTGAAATGTTCATAGTTTTGTATTAATTGCTAAGAAAACAATTTTTAGTCTCATTTCATTTAACATGCTGTGATTTAACAAATAAAAATGTAAAAGTACGATGAAAAGATTATTTGGAACGAAAGCAGTTTGACCGTTCCCCAGGGCATATGTGATCGTCCATTTGAAAAATAAAAGAAAATCAAGAGAGAAAGAAAGAGGGAGAGAGAGAAAGTGACTACAAAATTCGATGAAGATGAACTACTTGTTTTTCTATTTATTTCCTCGTTTTCCTTTCATTTTCATACGTACATATGTATATCTTAGTTTCTTTCAATTTTTATATACATATTTGCTTGCTGTCTGATTAAACGAAAATAAAAAAAGAATTAGAAGAAGAAGAACTACAAATGTTTTAAAAAAATATTTAACTTTGGTAGTTCTTTGAGCAAAATTGATGTGCAAAATGAGTAAATTGAATGAAGAAGAAGAGTTTTCCATAATTGGCCTGATAGACATTAGGCTTTTCTTAATGTCGCTCACACATGGTTATTAGGTTATTAGCACTTACACAACGACTTAAAGAAGAGGAGAAATGTGAGAAATTGCATGAGAAAAGCACAAACAGGCAGTACGCCCTGAATGGCAGAATAATTTGAAAACTTCTCTTTCTCTCTGAAAGCTTTTTTCTTCTTCCTCTCTCTCTCTCTCTTTCTCACTCTAGTCACTTCGTTGTTTCTTTCCTTTCTCAGATTACCTATAAGATTCTTCGTAGAGGTTTCATAAAAATCCTTGTAGAATCGCGCGAATACGTCCCAGCCGCCGTCACCTAATTCGTTTATTCTAATTGCAATCATTTGGCACATCTTCATCTGCTTCATGTCTCCTTCCATCCTTTCAATACATCCGCGCTCATTTTGCCCTTCCTCCTTCATCTATGGAGAGTAGAAGCTTTTTCGTTGTTCAACAAGACTAACATGATGACGAACAACTCATATTGTTGTTGTCGTCGCCTTTCCTTCTTCAGCTCATCTTCCTTCGTTGGATTTACATCTCTCACTTCTTCATACTATTTTCTTTATACTCATTGTCGTAGTACATCACGCTCAGCTTTACCCTCCCTGCCATCTTCCAACATCATCATCAAGCATTCGCATGTTGTTCATCCTTCTTCCAGCAGCCTCTTTGCCTCCCAGTCCATCCTTTCCTTTGCCTCGTCACCCTTTGCATAGAACTAGCCAATTGGTTGTTGTAGTTCTCCGTTTAAGTAGTTTTCAGCTGCTCTCATGCAAAAAAAATGCTGTTTGTTCTTTGTTTAAATTGAAATCAGAGTATGGCACGTCAAAACGTACGTGAAACAATTGTGTTTGTTTATTTCTCATGCTTTGCACTTAACATGCGGTTGTTTTCCAGCTAACTCTCCATCATTTTTCTTTTTCATTTCCACATTTCCTCTTTTTCAATTTTTTCTTTAATAAAATAATAAAATGTAATTCAGTTAATTGCAGATGATCAAGAAATCATTACATTATCACATATTGGAATGTTAAAATGTCAATGCTTGACTATGCTCACGCTCGGTATGTTTTGATTTTGCAGCATTTATATTCCTCATTTTCATTGTGTTTAAAATAGAGCAAAATCAAATTGAAAGAAACATTTGGTCAAATATCTTGTTGGATTAAATTACCAATCTGTTCCTCAATCGCCAAATATCAATTGACGTCTTCTATGTCATTTTGAGCAGTTTGTGTCATTTTACTCGAAAATAATTGGTGATTTTTATTAATATTGATGACATTTCTCTTTTTTTTTCTAAAAAATTATTGAGAGATGTCATATACTTTCACACAAAAAATTGAAGTGAAAGAGAAAATAATACTCGTCTGTCATCACTTCCTAAGTCCTCTTCCTCTTTCTCTCTCTCGATTTCATCCATTCTCCATCTTTCTACCTGTCCATCTCAAACTTTTACCTTCTGAAACTGACATAATTAAAAAAAAACAAAAAAAAAAGAAGGAGGAGACTCAGAGATGTGATGAATAGATTTTCTCTTCTCTCCGCTCTTTAAGCATTTGCTCATTTTGTCTCTCTCCTGCTCTCTTCTTCTTTTTCTTTTGGGTTTTCGTTGTTCTTCTTCATCTCATCTACTGGTGCTGCTGCTTGTCCTGTGCTTCCGCCCACATTTTTATCTTTTTGATGATGTAGAGATGAGAGTGATAGTACTTTTTCTTCATTTTCATTTTCAAGAATGTATTTTGAATTTTTTTCACACCTTTTAACCTCCGCTCATATTCAAGCCTTCCGTGGTTTCCAGTCAGTACGTAATAGTAGAGTGAACATTTTGACATTTCCAATGAGCATTGTTTCTTTCTCATTCTGTTTATTCCTCGTTGCTGTGTCAGTCTTCTACATCATAGTTTCACGCAATTAATTAAAAAATAATAAAACTTAATTTCTGAATCTTTTCCTCATTCTTCTTAGGTCAGAGTTCAATGACTGCTATCGAACACCCAGACCGGCTGTTCATTGACTTTTCTAATGAAAAGAAACTCATTGGCTTGTGATAGATTCCATTACATCCTCTATCCTCTTTTTTTACGATAAAAATGCTTTTTTTAAATTTTTTCAATCATCATTCTGAGGAAGCTTTCACTACCAGCTGGTCTCCAGATGTTCTTTCGTACTTTCCATCATACTTTTTGTCAATTTTAATTCAACCATGTTACTTCAGATTTCAATTCTTAAGCTTCTGTCGTTTCGTTTCAGCTTTTCCGGTTAAAGTTTCATTGAAAATTCATGTACATATCATTGTTTCCAGTTGATTATATATGAATTTTTGAGCTCATAATCGCTTTTTCCAAATGTTCTTCTTCATGAATGACTTTCTCTCTTGCTTCCTATTTCATTCTTCTTCGAAATCGCAGAAGGAAGTATAACATCTTAATATTTTCATTCTATTCATTTCAATATAATTCACATATTTCAGGGCAGATATGACGACGGGAATTCCCCGTGGTGTTGGGGCTCCTCCACCACCAGGCTTAGATCCAAAACGGGGCAAATTGATGTGTATTAAAGTACGAATGTTGGATGATTCTGTTGCCGTTTTTCATTTGGGGGTGAGTAGAGAAATTTGGAAGAGAAAAGTATAATTCAGTATGACATTCCGCTATCAAAAGCACAAATATCATCATTAAAATGTGAAAGAAAATATGTATATCAGTGCTCTGTTTGCATGTTTGAGACAGCCACTTGTGACATATGCTTCACCCTCCTTCCCTTCTTTCTGTTCCTTTCATAATCCCTTCTTCTCTCTGCCTTTTAATTAATCTATCTCTCTTGTAAGATATCACTTGACCAAAACACGAAAAGCTAAAGAACCGTAAATTTCATAGAAAATCATGTCTTTTGGACTTCATTGTAGGAAAAAAAAACAAAAGAATTTTTATTTACAGCATAAAGCCATCGGACAAACGTTATTGGATGAGGTGTCAAGACATCTTAATCTATTAGAAACTGACTATTTCGGATTGGAATTTGTAGATAATATGAGGAATAGGGTATGAAACAGAAAAAAGTATGATTTTTCCAATATAATGGTCATCTTTCAGTGTTGGTTAGATAAGGATAAAGCTATTATACGTCAAATCGCTAGTAGTGATGCTAAATTTTATTTCGTTGTTAAGTTTTATAGTCCAAATCCAATAGATTTAGAAGAAGAGTATACAAGGTGAGGGAAAGTATTATATTTGCGCTTACTTTATATTTACAGATATCTTTTAACACTCCAAATAAGGAGAGATTTGGCAACTGGAGATTTACATTGTTCAGAATCAACAGCTGCTTTATTAGCAGCATATCTCGTGCAGGTTTTTTTTGTAAATGTAGCAAATACACTGATAAACTTCTTACTTTCAGTCAGATTGTGGTGATTTCTCTTCTGAAGACTATCCTGACGCTTCTTATCTATCTCATTCTCGATTTGTTCCCAACCAAACTTACGAATTTCAACAAAAAATAATGGAAAATCATAGAAATCTTGTGTACGTACCAATTCTTTCGACATGAAATCTTTTCGAGTAATCGTTTGAAAAACTGATCCACTTTTCATCTTGAAAGTTAAGATGACGTTGGTCTAACATGACATATCGTGACGACCAAGTTAAGTGGTCTTAAGGGATTTGCTAAATTCATTAATCAAAAAAAACATTCTTCTTTCTTTCTGTTTCACCGTCCATTGACAATCTTGTGATTTCAGAGGAATGTCTCCAGGCGAAAGCGATTTAGCATTGTTAGAAGTTGCTCGACGCTGTGATTATTATGGCATTAAGTTTCATGCAGCGAAGGTAGTTAGATTAAGATTGTCCAGTGAAATAAGACTCCAATTTTAAGGACATTGAAGGAACTGATGCTAATCTGGCCGTTATGCATTTGGGAATAAAAGTTTTTCATCAATTGCACTGCGTTAGTACGTTTTCATGGGCTAAAATACGTAAGCTTAGTTTTAAAAGGAAGAAGTTGTTAATTAAACTTCACCCTGATAGTTATGTGAGTCGTTTTTTTGTGTTCTCATTCAAATTATTTCGCTTCAGCAGTATTATAAGGAAACAATTGAGTTTGTATTTGAAACAAGAAACGAATGCAAGAACTTTTGGAAGAAATGCGTTGAACATCACGCTTTCTTCAGATGTACTTCAGTAGAGAACTCTAAAAAAGATGGACGCCTGTTCAGCAAAGGAAGTTCATTCAGGTAAAATAAAATGCAATCAAACAAATATCTAAAGTGTTTTCAGGTACAACGGACGTACTCAGAAACAGCTGATTGACTATGTACGCGAACACCACAAACGTAGAGAGCCTTTCACAAGGTATAACTTCAAGGTTTCAGCAAACCTTTTGAAAAAATTGTTTCAGACCTCTACGATCTGCTGGAACATTATCAACACGTGGAGACTATGTGAGCTCGAATTCTGTGAAATACTCGGTTGTTCGAGAAAAGAAATCTAATGGTTCACGTCATGATCATCGTTCGATGCCTCATTTATCGGCCGGAAGCGGTGGAGGAGGATCTACAACCTCAGGTACATTAGATGCTCGTGTGATAACATCACATCAGCAAGCTACTTCTGCGATTGCTTCATCTTCTGCTTCATCAGCATACGCTCAAGCAGTCTTGAACTCCAAACATCTTAATAATATAAATAATAATAACAATAATAATAATACAAGCAACAATCAAACTCATCTGAAAAAAACTTTAACAGATTGTGAAAATAACACATTTCGTTCAAATCTTAAAACGCATGATCGAACTGAAACATCCAATACCATTTTCAAGGAATCAACAGCTGAAAATATTTCTTTATCCTTACCTAATGTTTTATCCGACGATATTCAAATTGTTTGTCGTGAGCTGGAATTCGAAAATAATTCCAAGCATCCTCCAAAGTCTGTCTCGGGTGATAACTTTCTTGATCTTATCGAAAAATCTAACGATTACGATAATGTCAGCGAAGATTCGTACCGTCTTTCTGATAATGAGCGAAGCGTTCGTTCAGATATTGCTGCTCACACAAGCGCACAAGTGTTCAATACAACTTTCACTACTAAGCGTATTGGTAACGTTGTTGTGAAAAGAGTTGTTTCACAAACAAAATCGACTCCTAATACGACGGATGATGAAGATTCTGAACACATAACATCAACACGTTCGGATATTGAGCCTCGTAGTCATAGTCAGCCAAGAAGAAGGCCCATCAAGGAATATCCTTTTTTCTCCACTACAGTGGTTCCGATTGAAATTGATGGACCTAATGTAGATTTAAAGGCAAGGCTTCATAAATCATCTGCTTCATCAAATGTCTCAACACCATTGTCTTCACACCTTAGCCGTAAACCGATTTATACGTCCTCAGGAGCTCTGCTCGTTAAACCGAAAGTGATTTCCACAGAGTGCGATAATCTTTCATCTATATCTGCACCATATGCTAGCGTGAAAGTTTCTCCGGACTCCGGAACTTATTCAACAATTGTATCGCCCATTGTTCGAGAAGCTAAGGAAGAACATTCTGTTAGAATTTCTGGACCACTACCTGGCAAAGTTCTCACGAGAGAGAATATGGTAGTGACTCCCGATGGCTTGAAAGAACGTCGTCAAAAGCCAGCTGTTCCGCCAAAACCGAAGATTCCTGAACACGGCATCAAACCAAAAGCGGAAATAATCGGTCATCCTGTTGTTTATATGCCACAAGAATTCTCAAGAGAATCTAGCGAGGATCGCTCTTCATCAGCCGCTCCTTTACCACCTCCTCCATCATCAGCCCCTCCGATTCCGACACCTTTTTCACACCCTCAAGGATTATCATCTGTTACAATAACAAATGAACCAGAAGAAGATTTGTCTACATCTCGGCGTATATTGAACCGTCCTGCTTTAATATCAGTTAAAAGCGAGGATAGCCCAGAAATAGAAAAATGTCATTTATATAACAGTGACATTCCTTATACGCTCACACTGAGGAATCTCGACTCAAAAGAGCCAGAAGCTTTTGAAACTAGTTCTTTGAAGAAACCGAACAAGTCTCAAGTATCAGAAGCGGCTATGGTATTTGAGAGGCGAAAATCACTAGATTTGGTGCCACGAAAACGTTTGCCCTCACCAGGAAACTTCTCCTCGCAGGATCATTCAATATCACCCACAAGCCCGGATGGAGATGTTCTAGAATATTTATTGAGAAGAAGAAGTATGAGTCAGGAACGCAGCTCGATATCTAAAAAAGGAAAGAGAGGAGATGTTCGGCGCCAAACACAGCCAGTTCGCTTTGATTTACCAGCTCACTCACCAGCATATTCTCCAACAACAACGTCATCAACTCCGTTCATCAGCTTCCTGAATGATGATGTTGATGATTGTATATCGGAATCTCGAAGCCTTCACGATGATATGGATCGATTAGAAAAACAGACTCATAGCATTAGCTCACTCAACATTGAAGAACGTGCTGGATCAGAGGAAAGCGATGCCTTACCTCCGCCACCAACTAACCTTCCAAAGAAAGCAGTGCCACCACCGCCACCTCCAAAAAATAGAAAAGCGGCTGATAAAGTTGTTGAAATAAAAGCTACAACTATACTGAGTTTGAGTGATTTACCGGAAGGAGAGGATAAAAAGGAAAGTACAAAAACTGATGAATTGAGCAGATGGACTGAACAACCAAAAATTCCAAAGCCAGAAGAAAGATTATCTTCGTTAGAACGTCAGATACAAGATTTTGCAAACATGAAGGATCTACCGATAATGTCTGATAAACCGACTACAGACTCTCCTCCTTTCATTGATGAATCGCCGAAAGAAGAGTCGGATATTAGCCCTGAAGAAGGTCCATCATCTATTCGAACAGCATCAGGATTAATTGTTACTGATTTCTAAACGCTTTTTAAGCCTCTCCCGCTCTCCCTCCCCATTCTTTTAGTTCTGTGTAAAATTATTATTCGTTTTTTTTTCTTTGAAAAAAGAAAGCGAATGAACTGCATGTCACTCTCCTTTGTTTCCTTGCTTGTTCAAATATGGTGTGAAAAGTAGATAGTTCGAAAATCATCAATAACAAAAAGAAAGTTATAAACATAAAAAATTAAACTTTTGAATTTTTAAGAGATTTTCTTACCTCCAAGCTTGTGCCTTTGTTTAATTGTGATACGGTGGTGCTTAACCTTCCCTTTTTAAAATATATTTGACTAACATGTCGATGATTTCTTATTAGGCAACTTATAGCGGGTAGTTAGATATGAAATAATAATTTATTTTACATAAATAAAACAAGTTCCAAGACAGAAAAGTTTTTTTTAGATGAGTTTATCTGTTGATTGTTTTTTCCTATGTATAGTAGAACATGAGTAGAAACTTTTATCCTTTCATTTCTTCACACCTATCATAGTATCTTCCCCCACTACCACCTTCATTTTTCTCTCTTTCTTTTTTATCTTTTTCTTCTTCTATTTCTCTCTCATTGCACATTTTTCTGTCGTTTTTTAACTCTTTAGTAAAGATAATATAATTGATTAAAAATTAAATTCATCTCTTGCTCGTAGCCTTGCTCAGCACTTGTCTCAACATATTCAAGTTTCATTTTTCTTATTTTTGAGAAAGAAAAATCTGAGTCTGGTCCTGTCCTTGTTTGAACTTTTTAAATCCCTGATCTCTTTCAAACAATCTTTTCTTGTTTATTGTTGTTTCTCAACTTGCCATCGTCTTTGTTTATATATTTTATATAAATAAATGTTTTTCATTATATATTACAAAGAAATGGATGTTTCAGTTTGATTATCATACAAATAGTTTGAAGGAAATGATTTGTTTGCAGAGATTTAATGTGTCGTTGAACAAGAAAACATTTTCAGAATATGCTCCATACAAGAAGAAAGAAGTAATTTATGGTGTTAATTCAACTTTTTCAACGGAAAGTATTGCTTTGACGGAGCCCATAAGCCGGAGCCAAACGATCAAAAGCAATAAGTTCGATTTGTTCAGAAGTTGTAAGTAACTTTTAATTCATATTTCAGTGTTCGTTTCGGATTAAGCACGAGTTTAACGTCAAATATTGAAAACAATAACACTTTGTATAGAGCAGATTCGAGTGATAGTGGAGGATTGTCATTGTTCACAGAAATCCCAAAGAATGGTACAGCTGTCTTTCACTCATAGGAGAAAGTATGAAAATATGATTTTTAGAACTGTCGACTAGTGTATACAGTACGAAAAGTACTTTGCCTGATCCCTTCGAATCTCGTTTGGATCCTGAATCCATGTCGGAGAAATCTGATAGCTACTTGGAACGAGAAGATTCTTTGATTGGACAGAGAGTTTTGATATTTTCCTGAACTCCAAACTTATCCACTATATTCTAGACATTCCTGAAACCGTCCGTGTGTCTAATGGACATAATTAAAGATTTGTTGAACATAGAAAGGATAGCAGCAAATGATCTTAGAATTATATCTCAGGTTTAATATAAAGACATCCTTGGACCTCCTCATCTTCCGTATTCTAGACAGTGTTTCAAAAATTACAACCGTTTCTAAACAAATGTAAGATCTTACTTGAGTTGTTCAATGTTTTATTCGAATTGTACACATCTCAGAAACAGTTTATTGAAGATTTGGAGAAATTAACCAGGTAAGATATAAGTGATAGGTTTCAGATTCAGTTAACTAGCGTCTTATAAGACAATGTCACAAAATAATAACTACCTATACTTCAGTTCGCACCAACAAGACTTAGACGAGTTTCCTCAAAAACTCTTATGTACAATTCATAATGTTATTCCAATGTATACAGCTCTGCTACAACAGTATCCTATATATATATCTGCGCTAGATGAACTATCACGATCTCAAATTTTATTCAAAAATGAAATTGTGTATGTCATAAACAATCTCTAAAATTAGTAAAAAGATTTTTTTTCAGAAAAATGGAAAGTTTAGATGAATGTTTCATTCCAATCAATTGGATTCTTATGCGTATATTACATCGGATCCCATTTTGGCAGCCAGTAATTAATTTAAATAATTAATACTTTAATCAATTGCTGCCACCCAGGTTCTTGTACGAATTGTTGAGCAACAATTGACGGATGGGAGAGAAGAGAAAGAGATGACATCCACCAGAGTTGCTCTTGAAAAAGCTTCGATCTTGTGTGAAAAAACGAAGAGCCAAAGAGAAGCCTTAATTGAATATGTAGCTCTGTTACAAATCGAAAAAGATCTAGGAGCTCCTGGTTTATTGTCTCATCCAAGTCGAGTATGCCATTGAGCCACTGAAATGCTTCACTTACATTCTTGTTTATAGAGGTTGATACGTATTGGTTTTGTGGAAAGATGGTCTCAAAAAGGATTAACTTCCAGAGTTTTAGTGCTTTGCTCTGATCGACTCCTATTAGCTCATCGAGTTAATAGCCCTGATCATCCATTTGCTATACAAGGTGAAATAAAACTCAAAGGAATGCTGGTATATATAAGAGCTGCAATACTTGTGTAACAGTCTACCTCATTTCAGGTAGAGGATGGTGATACTTACAATGTTATTGGAAAACAACGTGATGCTATAACAGTCCATAGTGGAGATAAATCTGTAGTTTTTACCAGCGTCTCAAAAGATGAATGGCTAGATGTAAGAAAATCTTTTTTCTAAACTGTCATGATTTTTTTTTGAGGACATGTGCACAGCTGTGAAAACAGCAGCCAAATGTCGCTTAGAATTGCCTCAAATGCAAATGGAGAAAAAAGAAGAACAACAACAGGATTCAGATTATATGTCGAGTATTGAAAAATTGGGAAACAAAATTATTGACTTCTTGTAAATTGGTTTAGAATCAAAAGCTGATAATGATGCCAGAACTGGTCCGTCACCTTTGCAAGTATGCTGGTATCGGAAATCAACCTTAGGTATCCAAGATATCTATAAGGTACCTGTGAAACACTTCTTTCAAACATTCACAAATTTCTACAGATTGTGACTAATACTCAAGCAGGCTATCTTTTGAGAAAATTGAGAAATTCATCTGGTTGGCAGAGACTTTGGGTTTTGCTGGCTAACCACACTCTCTTTTTCTATAAAAGCCACTTGGTATGCAAAAAGTATCGTTGGAAATCTCACAATACCGTTTCAGGATGAGAAACCACTAGCAAACTTGCCTTTAGTGGAATACGGGTTCGGATTGCCTAATTTAGAAGATATGATGCCTCATGATTTCTGCTTCAAATTGTTTTATGGATCCCACAAATATTTTTTCCGATCCGACACACCATATAGTTTTCAAAGGTTTGTTGTTTGTAGTATAACTCGAACACGATCGTATAAAATTTGTAGTTTTGCAATCGAAAATTATAATTTCAATTCCAGATGGACAGATTCAATTCGACTTTGTGCTATCAATAATCGTCAGATGGATTGTATTACAGCTCTTTCACTACATATTTAGTCTACTCATATATACCACTTTCCACAAACATCTTGCCTACAATATCATTGGGTTCAATAAGACTTGCCTCAGGGTAGCCAGTTAAACCATAGTCTATAACTTAGTATTGAAAAATATTTAAACGACCTTGCATATCAGTCATTTTTCTCTCTCACTCTCTCTCTCTCTCAAAGTCTTTCATTGTGACTAATTATCCCATTTATCTAGATATCTATATTTTGTTATAGTTTGCATATCATTATATTCTAAGATTATATAAGATTATTATCAAAGACAAATTATAATAAAATACTTATACATATATATATATATATTTATAACTTTTTATAAGAAGGCAACACAGAAAACATAATTTGCAAACTTGAGCATAATAGTAACCCACGTGAGTTTCACGTGAGAAGCAATATGGGTTTAAAAATCATCATTTTCACATTAACTCATATAAGAAGGTCGGTCGTGTTGAAATATTCTACCTCAGGTTTTTTTTGAGAACAACTCAAACGACTTTCTTTACTGACATTCAACCTTACTCATCAGGTTTGTTTCAACTTGAATGTTATGAGAAGAAGAAACACATGGTCACGTTCTGTGTTCCTTATGAAAAAATCTTTTGGCTGTAATATAGTTTATAATTTTGAATGCAAATTCAAAAAGTTCTTATCTTCTTGAACATTCAAATTCAAAATGAACTTTTCGAGCCTTATGAATGATAACAACTAAGTTGTAATCACTTCATTATAATTTGTTATTATTGTCCTAATTTTTATTACATTTTATTTGAATATTTTCTTTGTTACAGAGAAAAGTAGTACAAATATGGGATTAACTTTCGGTTGGGGAACTACAATACCGAAATCTTCCCTGGTTCGATGCTCTGTCAAAACTGTTCGCTTACAATCTTTTTCAACATCATCTAATTATCTGATTGCATCTTCAGTTCGCGATGAACGATATCGTGTGAGCTTCAGTTTACACGCTTTTGTCTTAACTTTTTTGTTTCAAGCAAGCAGTTGCTCTAGGTATAACTATACTATCTCCAACAATACTTTCAATCATTTCTGAGGCAACTACTGCTGATCAAATCGTTGACGAAGTAGGTTTCGCTCATTATTGAATGATCTTCTTACAATTCTTTTTCTTCTCCTAAACAATGCGTCACTCTATTGTTTTTATTACGATTCGCATTCATATCCATATGAGGCAGCAATAATCATCATATTCATTTGAATAGTTCTCATTTATTCAAGTGAATTTGAATGAAATAAGTTGAAAAATGCTCAAAGATGCGTAATTGTCTGACAAATGATGACATTTGTTCATTTTCAAGTTAATCTTCTGATTTCTTTTGTAGACCCATCGACATCATCTTCCTCGATTCAAAGGAGTACTCATCTATCTGCATCTTGATGAGACATTGCATGAGAATAGGCAAATTAGGAATGAAATTATGACGAATGGTATTACTTATAACAATTAGTGCTTAAGAACTATTATTCAAAGGTGGATTAGTTGTATCCAACATGACACAAGCAACACATATCATAGTCAATCCAGCTGAGCAAAACTTACCGGACGTAGCTGAAAACCAGTTTTTAGTTTCGTCACAAGTTAGTTTTTTTTTCTACCCCTCGGTTATACAGCTAAAATTCCTTTTTTTGTTTTCATATTCTTTCTGCTGCAATTTTGCTATAAGCATTCATGCTTTTTTTTTCTCAGCAGGCAAAAAATCATTATATTGCCTTAGGGGGAAAGCAGTAAGTGAAGCGAAGGAAAGAATCTAAGCTAATTGAAATTTGTCATTTCTAATCCTCCACTTTAACGGAGTAACGAAAAACCCCCTGAAACCATCTATTCCCTTAGAAACATTTTTAAACTTTCGAGACTTTAGTATATAATTCGAGAGATAAATATACATTTCCCTTCTGATGCAACAAGACAGTCGGCAAATGACAGAACTTTCAACGAAATTATTCAGTAATTGAATCTTTGAAACATCAGAAATGTTTGTTTCCCTCTGTTTTAATAGAAATAGCCATTTTTGTGATACAAAGTGTGCAATCATCTCGATAGAAATAGAAAAATAAGAATTACTGTTCTGTTTGGGCTGAGAAGCTTCTGCTTGAAACAGTAGCTCTATGCAGTATTAATAATGTTTCGGAGAACCCTGGATTTAATGAAAAAAGTGAAAAAAAGAAAATGTCAAGAGCTGAGATAATTTCAGTGGATCCATGTGAGCCGAGACCTGAATTGGTGTGCGGATGAGCAACAGTTTATCTTAAAGAAGTATCGCATTCGAAGAGGTACAGCTCGCCGTCGCTTGACCTTTACGGGCTATATACGGTTAGGTTTTAAATATTTAAAACAATAGTTTTATTATAGTAATAGGAATATTATATTGATAGACTATTTATATGATACAGTTAATATAAAATTATGTCAGAGGGCAAGGACACTGCCGTGATTCGGCAACTAAATACAAGCGGTACCAGCTGTGTCAAGAACTTTACAGCTCAGAAATACGCTGCTTACAAATGATGGATTTCTTAGTACGAGTGAGTATAATAACAATAATAAAACCTTTATACGGTATAATTGTCCTTTTACAGATAAGTACCGATAATTATCTGACAAATGAACATAATTTAATAATTTTTGGAAGTTTCCTCTCAATGAAGACAATCCATTCCGAATTAGTTGAGAAAATTGGCAGAATTCTCAATACATGGGATGATGACAGTATGATTGGCAATGTGAGTTGTTTTAAATTGTTTTATTATATTTGCTTTCTCCCTTCGCTGAGTTTCTTAGCTTTTCCTCAGCTTCTCATAGATTTCTATAGTTTCTCTTCAAAATTCGCTTCGGCTAAACTGATATTGAAATTGATGACGAACAAAGTAATCTGAGGATGACCAGTGGGGCCAGAAACATCCATAAGAGGAGAAGAAGTGAGTGGTCAAGGAGAAGGATGGGAAGAGGGACGGAGGAGAGTGAGAGAGCAAAAGAAAAAAGAGAGTTCGAGAGATAGTTCTACCAAAATACGAATTGAAAGAATAACGATTAAGATACAACATGTATCCCGTAGAGAGATAGAGAAATGGAGCAGCATCTTTCAACTATTGCGAGAGAACTACAACAAGGGAAATACAATGGGAATGAGAGAAAGGGAGAGGATAAAGATGCGGCGAATGGCCAGTTCCAAATTAGTGCCAAAAGTAATCGACTATTCAGCCGTTTCCTCGTTCCTATTTCATCTACTTCCCCCCGATATAACGGTCTGTGAAATCAATTTTCTGCATGAGCAACAGTTGGCTGAAAATATTAAAAGAGGAGGAAGAATGTTAATTGTTACACAAAAAGTAAACAATCTATAGTGGATTATGGGAAGGAAAACCCTATTTGAACATGTCTGACGGATTGTTTCTTCAAAGAAATAAATGCGGCAGCTTCTCAAAGTGTATGACATTTACTTATTGATTAGGATGAATGAAAAAAAGGGGAGAGAAGGAAAATCACTGAGAATAATGAAGAGAAACGAACTCAATGAATCTCTACATTTTTATTACTCTCAAAAAAAAGGCTTAAAAATGACTCCAGATGTAAGGTCATCGGGCATTTCCATAGGACAGCAAATCGGTCTCATTTCGTTTTTGTTCTCCTGCAGATATCAAAAAACAAAAAAGTTAGGTTGATTGTCTCGGCTTTATGAACCATATCGGAAAGATATAAAACTGACGAACAAGTCCAATTCTATTTTTATTTTTTCATCCGAAATTGAATCGTTGAAGAAACCGATGTGTTCGAAAATATGAATATACTTTTATATATATGTAAGCTGACAACTTGAAACTCTTCTTTCAGATTTTTGTAGAAATAGCCGGAGACATGGAACGCAGTTATTTGGAATATTTCCAACATTTAGAAATTTGTCAGGAAACATTCAAAGAATGTAAACACAGAAACAGCCGATTCAGATCGTTCATTGAGGTGAGAAAATTGAAGAGAGAAGAAGAAGGAGAGGCGACGGTTAGAGAATTTGACTCAAAAATCAGTATAACAATAAAATAATTAAATCAAATTTAAGGTGAAAGAACAAGATCGATCACTCGATAAGCAAAAGATAGAATATCTGTTCAGCATACCATATCAGCAATTAACCAGCAGAATACTAGTGACCTTAAAAGGTATGCGATAGTATCATGAGTGTATTTTTCTCTTTAATCTTTTTATATCTTACTTATATATCTAACTTCAGCTATTCATGAAAAGACTGACAAAACTTCATCTGACTACATCTGCTTACTAGCTGCCATCGAGGCTGTTGATCAGATTTTGAGGTTCGTTTAGTTTATTTGGTAATGCAATAAATGAAAGTTGTTAACTTTTCTGTTTCTCAGAAAATGCAACGACTCTAAGAAGAAAACAACAGAAAGTCGACTAATTCTTAAACAAATCAAAAATTTACCGGTAAAACTTCATTCCTTATCGTTTCCAAAATCACTTACAGGCTTACGTCATATGCTCCAGAGGCATTTTTTTAGAACAGCATACATTCCGATGTGTCTTACCAGAGAAAGAAAACAAGCTGTCCCAACTAATTCAGTTTTACTTGTTTGATGATTCTCTCATAGTATGATTTCCGAACAAATGTTGACAAGATCTCACATTTTCAGATAGCTAGGCGGCTTAATCAAGCTTCATGCGTAACGTTGAGCCTGACAAAAACGAAAGAATCAAAAAAGACAGACTTCAATGACTTTTATCCATTGTCTGGAATTCGAGAAGTCTGTCTGTTATCGGATGGCCCTTCGAAAGCTTTCGTTCTGACTTTACGAAACGTGCAGGATACACAATGGTATTTGGATGTAATTGATAGTTTGGAGGACTCAATTCAATTCATGAACAAACTTGTTGATCATGTAACCATTTTTTTCGCCTTGAAAAGACAAAACTTTGGCTTGTTTTTAGGTTAACAAGATATGTAACAATAGACAGCTCGAACTATCCTCCGATTCAAGCACTAACGAGGTTTACAAGAGAGAATGGCTAGAGCGTTCCGATAGTTACAGGTTCGAAAATCCCCCCCCCCCACTTATCTTCTGTATTTGGCCTTGACTAATTTTTAAAATTTTGACACATTGAAGGGCAAGATCACCTGCTCGCACCTTATCCAGCATCAGCAATAGCATCCGGCGTACACTATCTTTCAATTCGAAAAATCACAGTCGACGCAGAGAACGAAGCATGATAGATTGCAAGTCTGCCCCGAGTATTTCGTACCCTGTTAGTAAATTTCATTGTAACTGAAACTGACAAATATGAACTTCAGCCCGATGTACATCTGTCATGGGAAGATGATAACTGTGAGAACAATGAACTGGTGAATCCTTATGATGGAATCAAACACTTCACTCCATACCCTAACATATCGAAACGTGAACGCTCTATACTCGATGATTGCTGTTAAGAGCTATACGATTTCGAAGTAATATCTCAGACAACACTAGATATCAAATAGATTCCACTCAAGTTCAGCATTATTTCAAACAACTTGTACATACATACTTGTTAATATTATTAATAAATTAATAATTATAATCATATCTATATACGTCAGCTAACAAGGCATCCAAAAATAGATGTTCAAGACCCTTCATTCCATACCATTATAAAAATAATTCTCAACATAATCTTTGGTTGATGTGAAAACAGATGTGAAAAAATATTAACGTATAAAGAACTCGAAGCTATGGTGAATTCAAGAATACTTCTATTATGTCGTTGTCTCCTTCCGTTTATCTTTCAAGGCTATAGTTATATCGAGAAATGTATCTTTTTCAATGAAAAAAGTTTGTACGCTGATTACACGCAGCTGCGCCACCAATCGTCCGCCTAGGAAACACTGCGCCACGCTTGCCGGTTGCTATGAAAATTTTTAATTTAGACAATTTTTATTAGTACTCTTTTATTAAGTAACCGAACACATTTCATTTATCTCTCTTTCTTTTTACTTACGTTGGTCTCTCAAGTATCTAGCTTTTTTATTTTCTCAAAGATTTAATCATTTTGTAGGTGATACCATGTTCCGCACCGTTCAATCCGTCAGATCCCTCTCTGTATCTGCTGTTCGTAACCAAGATTTGGTTCAACAAGCTTTCGTTAACAAAGTAAGAGAGTTCGGAAAGAAAGGAGGAGACCTTGTTAACTCTGACCCTGCTGTGAGTTTTATATGTTACTTAAGTGATTTCAGAACGAAATTTTCGTTTTATCTCAGAGCTTGTGATTTCAAATGTTTTTTCAGGTCAAGAAGGCCCTTCAGGATGAGCTTAACAAGCTTGCTATGAAGTTCCAACTTGCTAATGCCGATGTTGTTTCTAAGATCCCCACCAACTTCGAAACTGTTAAGGTGTGCGTGATTGTAATCTCTGCTCTTATTTTAGTTTTGTAGGTTGAGTCCTCTCTTAACGAACTTCTTAATGGAAAGACCATCTCTGCTTTGGTAGAAGAAGTCAACAAGGTGAGTAATCTTCAAATGCACATAATTTACTTTTTCTCTAGGAAAAAGCCGAGTACATCGCCAGCCGTGATGCTAAGAAGGCCTCCGAAAACGCTCGTGCCGCATCACTCAAGCAGTAGATACTTTTTAGCTAGATTTCGAATAAATTTTAATGTTCTTACTCTATCCGTATACTTTGAATTACTCACAATTGTCTCCTTCTAAGATAATATGAAGAGATTATGCTAAAGACAGGCGGTATAAATATGTGAAGGCCTTCAAAATCGTTGCGAGACCAATTTCCATCTCTCACTCCTTTGCCCAACCCCCTCAACACCCAGATCAATACAGGGGCGGAGCTCGAAGGTTATCCCCTGGTGGTCAACGCCGACAGTCGCAGAATCTTTACGTTATGGAGAATCAGTAGTGTCGAAAGTATATATTACTTAATTAGTTATCTTATAATGATATCATATCTATTTCTATGTTTCATGCTTCGGTTTTTCTCTTTTGAAACATTATTTTCCCGCCTAATGCGTTTTAGTTTTACTTTGTGAGGTCTGTATTGTATTATATTGATTTGTGTATATTTCTCAGCCTAAAAGCTTACATATGTACCGTTTACTAAAGGTTATGTCCACGGGTGTTGTCGTCTTACGACGGTAGTGCTATATTCCATATTGGGAAATTGCTACGGTTCTATGCTGTTTTTTTTTCTGCCCTGCTCTTTTTTTTATTAATCGTTGTTTATTTTTTGTTCCTTCTCTTCCTGACACGTTTTTGTATTTAATCAACTTATCTTTCGAGTCAACGTTAGTGTAACATTTTTTATAAAACCGAAAGATTCGTCTCCTCGGCAAAGATCACATCAACTCTGCTTATACTAACTTTCTGGTTTTTAATTAGATTCCATGTAAGAGAACGAATGTAAGCTCATTTGTTTATCAATCGTGAAATCATCCGATAAGATTATGACGGTTGACAACCGGTTTCAGTCATGATCCTCGTCGGGTCAAATGAAATTTAGGGCATATAATTTATCTCAGGTTCTGTGTCTTCTAACAGTCTGTTACATCAATATTTCTCCTAATCTCGGTGCTTTCTTGACAAATTTTTGAAATTTGACAGCAGATGTTCCCTTTTTACATTGGCCTTTTTTACAGATTGAGATAATGGTTCCTGGGTAGTCATGAAGATTTTAGTGTTTTTAGCTATTGGCATCATAGCCGTTAGTAATGTAAGTTAGCAACTATATTTTGTTTTTGTTAGGTATCTTTCATTATTAATTTTCTGATTTGCAGGCGGCGGATGTCCCGTCTATTGTTAAACGAGAGCTCAAAGCTTCACCATTTATTAGCAAAAAAACAGAGGTAAGCCTTTCCTTAGTTGAATTTCTTTTTTTCTTACATATGAGTAGCTCTTTGAATACTCTACCCACACTACCTCATGACGTCGTTTTTCATGAAAAAAGACAAAACTTCTTTGTGTGCAATAAGGTTATCATTCTTTCTATTCTGTCTGAGTCGATCTTTTTTCAAGATAATATGTAAATTCAATTGAATATTCCGTTCGCCACTCGAATATTTGCTTAGAATTCAATTGACGCTTGATTTGTAGATCTAGAAATTATGAGAACGGCATTTGAGGATAATTGAGTGCTTGCGTCCCTCTTATGTCTTATTTAGTTTGTCTAATCTAATTTTTCATATCCATCATCTTTCAGACAGTAGAAGGTAGTGGAGATGCAAAGTCTCTTAGTGCTCATCCTGACATGGAAGTTCATGGTTCTGGATATGGCAGCGATGATGAAGATGGTGATGATGTGCAAGGCTCTGGAGGTATTGCTTTTATAGATATGTTACGTAACGGGCCACGTATTTTAGATAGTAAGTCAGACTTATATGAGGGATCTGGTCGACCGGAATTATCGGAACGACCACAAGTGTCCACTACATCCACTACTACTGCAACACCTTTTGCTGTGAAGAGCACTACAACTACCACTCATGTAGCTGCTGCGTTCCGCTGTGTTTTTACAATTTTTTATCTTTCAGTCTGTTCTCAATCCAATTAAGAAATACGATGACAACGAAGATACTTCATCTGTTAATCAAGAACTTCCTGGTATTAATGTGCTGGAAACTAGAGAAGAAGTTACTATCACTACCACAACGACTACTTTAAAACCAACTACTATCGCTCCAAACGATTCAGCAACATTGTATCCTTTCCACAGTATGCTGAAGCCTGGAATTTTCGCCGGTGCGTTTTATTTGTTTCAAGTTTATTCCATCAGTAATGACCTTGGAAGATTGATCTGATCTCCTTTTATTTATTCCCTTCCTTCTCTCATTTTCTATGGAAGTTCTCGCTTCTCTCATGTGATTATTTGGAAACGCTAGAGTATCTCATATCACATGTCTTACTTTCCTGTGAATCTCTGAATTATTAATCAATTTCGATAGTTGTATGTAGCAGCTGTGCTGATATACCTGTAGAGGTCATTCCGCCAGGCTTAGTGTTTAGACATCCTACTTTAGTGTGGATTGAAGTTTTGGCATGTCATCATTCATCTTTGCTATGTGATCGATTACACGATTAACGTGGTGTCCAAGTGTTTTGTATCGAGCGGATTGCTCATCTCGTTGTAATTCGTTGAAAGAAAGGATGAATGGTGAGCCGCCTCCATTAGAGATTTGAGACCCCCAGTATGAAGCAGGGTTGAAACAGACGCACACTGGCGAGACAGACGGTTAATTCCTGTGCTGTAAAAAGAAATGCCGTATAATCCTATGTCAGAACAGCAAAATTTGCATGTGACCCGCATGTTACAACCTGCTGTTGCTGTCAAGTTTCAAGCTGATGAGACAAGAGCGTTGGGTTGGCGATTGTGCGTGAGCGTGTGCAGAGTGCCAAAAGTGGTTTGAATACAGAAAATGTTGACATATGGCATAATATTTTATGATTGCGATGACAAACCTCACGTATTTTGAGAGGAAGGCGTTAGGCTGTTTGAGGGAGATGGCAATGTCTTCTTCACACATCATGCTCTGTCACCTCGTTCATAATGAATGCTGAATTGTCGTAGTGGTTAGTCCTTACAGCGTGTGAAACAATGAGAGCATCAAATGTCTATACAATATGAATTCTTCTTTTTGTTCTTCATTAGTATTCCTAGGACGAGAGCGATATTATAGCTCCCAAGATGCTTTACTATTTGAAATGAGCATAAGGAGAGCTTTTGTGTGTTTGGTAAGGGTAGGAAATTAGATCCGAACAGTCACTCTCGTACTACCATGTACATTTATGGAAATGAGGTCGAGCAAATGATTGACCGAACTCGCTAAGATCTAACGATGCTTTGAGCATATTATGGTTAGGGTCGGTTTTGTACCATCTTGTAATCTATATTTACTTACGCCTCGTTTCTTGCTCTTTCTTACTAATACGATCTGTCAAGCATTTGACCTCATAAGGGCATATTCTGTGTTCTTCTCCTCATCCTTATATGGCATCTGCATATCGTGCTCGATATGATTGATACGCCGGCCGGCGAGCGTGTTTGTTCAGAGTGTAAGGCAGATGGCGGTGACCTTGCTTGAGCTGTTATTTTACTTCTTATTCCTTAAGAATATTGATGCTGAACAAGGCAATCAGAAACTTGCCGTTTAGCAAAAAAAAATGGGAATCGTTCAGCAATATTTAATTGGCTCTCAGCATGGGAAAACGTACTTGGATTGCTTTTTCTTCCATTGCTGTGACACATGCGCTTATTTTTACTGTTCTTGGTTGAGGGACGTAAAAAGAGAGCTATGCAGCAGATGTACATATAAAGTGGGGGAGAACTTTGCCAAGGAGTGGCCACGAGTGTATCAACTTCTTATAATATCTTCGGAAGTAGTCAAAATCGTATAGTCTTCATCATATTTGTTTGAGGCCGATGACCATTGGGGCACCTCAAAGAGATGTAAACGCCGATAAGCAAACCTCGAGGGGATTGCTGGCACATCTTACCTAAAGGGTTATGGGGAAGAACTACTTTTTTATCGATCACCCACTCTATAATTGTGGAATTAGTTGTAACTTATGGCTTTGAGGAGACATCTTGTTTTAAGTTTTATGGACATCATTGAGTCTACTCTATTACTATAGAAAGACACAGCAGATGCAAGACCTCTATAGTTGAGCGAGCGTGTCACAGTCTAATTGAGGGAAGTGCTAATTTGGTAAAAAGAGCAGGGAAGAAAATCGTCATCAATATTTTTAGCAGCAGGAGTGAAAAAAAGAGGCTAAGCGTCTGTGAGTGTTAGGTCGAGATAGTTATAAGCCGGATTAATGAATAATGGGATGAGAATTTGTGTGACTGTCAACATTTTGTCACTTTTTAGTGTTTCGAGAACAGTGGGAGTCTATCAATTTTATGATCTTCTAATGGTTCTTGCTAATGACTTCTGAATAGTTGAGAAAACGTTATGTCCAAATTTCTTTTATTTCATTCTTTTGTATGAAAGTCGCAAAAGTAATGAGTTTTCTTTGTCTTTATAGCATCATCTGTTTCCATATTTTCTCTCACAAATCACCTACTTTTTTGGGATTTATGGTTTTTTTTCAGCCGTTATTGGAGGAACAGTTGTTGGTCTGCTCACGGCGGTCCTGCTTGTGATGTTCATCATTCACCGAATGCGTAAGAAAGATGAGGGAAGCTATGCTTTGGATGAACCTAAACCTCGACCATATGCTGGATATGCTTATACCAAAGCTTCAACCAAAGAATTTTACGCTTAACTCCTATGTGTACGTTTATCCGCTTTCACATGTTATTCCAAGTTGACTGATCGGTATCTCGTCGTCATCTTTCCATGTCATCTGATGCCATCCCTGTACTTTGCGGGTGTATTATATTTAAATTTCCTCGCAAACAGTTTGTAACTCCAGTTCATTTTTTGCAATAATTTATATTTTGAAAATTGCACTGTTTTCCGTGTGAAAGTATCTTCAACAAAAAAAGATGATAGTGAATCACAGAAGTATCAGGAACAGAAATATATCTCATTCTTTGTGTCTCAAGAAAATACTTATTTCTCGATAGATTACAAATCTTCCAAATCTAGTTATATGTCTTCTGGGTTTAGAGCACGTCCTAAACGTGTGCTCATTAGGCGCTATTCCCGATTTCTACAGTTCTTATGTTGCTATGGTTATACGTTTAGCTTCTTGTTTTACTTTGAGTTTTCAATTAATAATTTTCTTTTAATTTCACTTTCTTTATCCATGAAGTTCATGATGATTTATTGATGTGCTCGTTTTCCTTTTATATACATCTGATGAAAATGTCTTTATTTGGTGCTCCAGCACATTCTGCGTATCTACATGAAGAATAAGAATTTATTTTCTCACGTTCTTGTTTCCCACTGTTGCACGAAGAATGTTTAATGTGATTATTAAATAAACCTACACAAATCTCTAAATATAGTCTGGCTATATGAAGTAATTTCCATTTGTTACTTACAATTCTTATCGTTTTCTCCAATTGAACAGACGCGCTGTTTGCTGAGCCAGAAGAAGATGAAGAAGTGCCAATTTGCGAAACAATCAGCCACATTTAATAATTCAACCCTTGGTCTATTCTCTACATTGACTATAGTCGGCACGATTTCTTTTTGAAGAATACTTTGGTGGGACGTTTAACATAACGTGATATGCAAATATTTCACGTGACTTTCTCAGTCGTCATTTTATGTTTTCTGACGCGCTGAGCGGTTGCTTTCATCTGTTAAGGGGGTAGGCCAAAAAAAATTGGCGCGGCGGAAGAGGCATATTTAGGCAAAGTTTCCTAAACATCTTTATCTGTCTTCCTCTCTCATGTTCTTGAAGAATAACCAAACATTGTACTTCAATCAGCCACTTTATAACTGTTCGATTTATTCCAAAAATGAGAAAAATTTGAAAACGCAATGATGACTCATCGCTCCCGGAGAAGTGTTGAAAGTCAGGAGTATTTTACTTGTTTCTCATACGAAGCCACAAAAATACTCCTTTTGTAGTAGTATGTAGCTACGAACTAAAGCGTTGGAGCTATTTTGCGTATTGAGTGATAGGATGAGGGATACAAAGGGTCGAGTCATTGAAGAAAAGATCAGGCGTTCTTCAGAGACAACAGGGATTGCCAGAAGATGAAAGTATTGAGAGAAGCAAAAGATAAAGGCAGTGAAGAAGACAGTTTACAACGAAGGAACGGCTAAGCTAGGACCCAACCCCCGGTGAGATCGAGAAGCTTCGCGCAGCTATCGTCTATCCGGACCTAGTTCTGTGAGTCTATTGATTCTGTAGAACGGTGTTTGTTTTAGCTTCTGGGCTAAGAATTAAATGCTTCTTCGTTCATATTTTCTTCTTGTTATTGACTGTATTAGTTCCATTTGTGTGTATTTGAATATAATCTGCTTAAGTAATTATCTATTATCTTCCGATACTCATATTAAAGGATATGTCGTAATCGTTTTGAAGCTAAATAATTCGACAAAACGACTATGTCGAATGCCGAAAAATGCAACTTAACTTTATAAGTAACTATCTGTTAATCTGGAGTTTTCAGCTTAATGGTAGCTGAAGTTGTAAGTGCAGAATCTCTCCGCGACGAAGGGAACCATGCCGTTCAAATGGGAGATTGGAACTTGGCTATCGATAAGTAAGGGTTTTCCAGTTTAAGAATATCCTTTATTGAAACTTCAAGGTATACAGATGCACTAACTCTAACAACTGAATCAGATGCCAGTTTGAAAGCAGTACTTCATCGTAACAGAGCTCTCGCTCGATTGAAAATCGATGATTTCGAAGGAGTTGATGCAGACTGCACTAAAGGTTGCTCAAATTTTCCTTGTGTTTTCATATTTTCAGCGTTTTTCAGCTCTTGAGTTTGACGGAGCAGACGGCAAAGCGTTATATAGAAGATCTTTGGCCAGGGAACAACTAGATGAAATCGGTGGAGCCTTCAGCGATGCCAAGGAAGCTTTACGGTTAAATCCGAAAGACAAGTGAGAAAACAGTTAGCTAATCACTTATTAATGGAGATAATATAGAGCTATAACTGAACTACTACAGCGATTGGTTGTTGCAAACAATGAGAAAGTTAAAAAAATAACAAGTGTGGATAACAAAGTCAGATTACAATCGTGTTTTTCGAGATTATTCTAATATTTTCAGGTCTCCGAAATGTCTAAGCTCGCATTTGAGGGGGGTGCCAAAGACTTCGATCAAAAGAATAAAGTATCCAAAATTTATCTGTATAGCGATATATATATATATATATAACTTCTTCAGGCTTACAATAACTTATTGGTATTGTCCAGAGAGTCAGAATCAGGTGCTATACGAGTCTGGAATGAGGTATTGCGAGGATGTTTTCGATCCTCTGTTCAAAACTAGAGTTCAGGGAAGAATCATTGCAATTTTGCTTCGCTCCGTTGAAGATAAAAAGGAAACAGATGAAATTGCAATTACTGCCATCAGAATAATTGATGAATTATGCAAGAATCATAAGAGAGTAGGAGAACATTGCTTCGAAATTATAAATTCTATTGCTGGTTACAGGCCATGAAATTTATGACTATGTTAAATAATGATGAGAGAGCTTCGGTGAGATATATTTGTCGTTTAATCTGTCTCCGGGATTCCAAAGAATTCGTTGATGCTGCTGGTCTGATAGTTCAAAGATTGTTCAATGCCCTAGCAAAAATGGACAGAACGAAAGAAATGAAGCCTGATCCAGAAGTTGCTGAAGGTTAGAATAGTTTCGCCATAAACCTCATGAAAACGGATTTTCCAGCAAACAAAATCTACATTCTTAGACTCATTCAGGAACTCAGAGAGATGCTGGTAGACATATCAGTAAATGCCATGGTTAGCATCGTTTTTTTAATAAAGAAATATGATTATACTTGCCATTTCAGTGCCGTGAAACTGTCATTGACTTGTTTACCAAAAATCTTATGCACATGGATGGAGGAATTCCTCGTGGATGGTCTTGGGATTTCGTGGCTGGGCGAGGTACTCATAGTTTGCTTTTTAATTTTTTTTCAAACGGAAAACGCAGACCTACCTACATTGTTTATTCCCATTCCTTTTAGGGCTCTTAACTTTACTGAATGTCTCATCACAAATACCTGAACAGTGTGACTATCCTGTGACTCATGAAACACGGCAACACATTGCTATTTGTCTTTCTCGTCTTGATGATGATATGGTTCGGTTTTGAATTTTTCCTTTTTCTCATTGGAAAAGAACATAATAGGGGACCATAATCTTTTATTTTATAGGTGTTCGATACCAAAAGAGCTATTTTCAAAGAGAAAGTTGATGAATTCTACAACAGTCTTCTAGCAACTGCAGGAGATAATGAAGAAGGACACAAGATCCGAATTAAATTGGCCTCCTTTCTGATTACAATGCTGCAGGTGAGAGGCTGACCCTTACATTGTCTTTCACTGCGAAAATTATAGGGTCCCATCAACGTAGGTATGAACCTTGTAACTAATGATCAAATTACTGCAATGATGATGCAAATGGCCGCTTCTGAACATAAATTAATGCAGGTTAATTGAATGCTTTCTGGAACAGACAAAATAATTTGTACGAAATAACATAGTATTTTTTCAGAGTGTTGCCGCTGAGTTGATTGTTATGACAGTCAGTAAGCATGAGAGAGCAACCGCCATTCTCAAGGTAACTAAGTTAATTCTGTCCTCACTGATTTGGCTTAGCTTATTCATATTAAAAAGAATAAAATTCAAACAAACTTTGAAGGGTTCTCATGGTGAATGTTGAGATTTTTGTAAATTTTCAGGTTGGTATTCCGATTTTGCGCAAGTTATATGAATCGGATGACGACAATGTCCGTGTTCGTGCTTTAGTGGTAAGGTTCTTTTTATTCATTCGGAACGCATAAATGAAATTTTAGGGATTGTGCAAATGTGCCTCTGCTGGTGGTGACGATGCTTCTAAGGCCACTATGAAAGAAGGCGCTCCTATTAAACTTGCCCAATCTTGCAAGAAGTTTTTACTGGAAACAAAAAAGTACTCTGTTGATGTTCGGAGGTGCGGGCGTTTACATAGGAGAATTTTATAACGACTTTCATTGTAGATTTGCATGTGAAGGACTTTCGTATTTATCTTTGGATGCTGATGTGAAAGAATGGATAGTTGATGATTCCCTATTGCTTCAAGCTTTGTTGTGCTTGGCGCGATCAGCTGGAGCATTGTGTGTTTACACCTTGGCTACAATTTATGTGAATTTGACCAACTCATATGAAAAACCGAAGGTCGATGAAGAAATGGTCAAATTGGCTCAATTCGCTAAGCACCATGTACCTGAAGTTCATCATTTGGACACTGACGAGTTTATTGAAAAGCGAACAAGAGCTCTGGTCGATGAAGGAGCCGTTAGTGCCTGTATTGCTGTTAGTACTACAGAATCAAAAGCTGCACTTGAACTAATTGCTAGGTAACCTCATTATGTATGATTTTGTTGAAACTCTATTTGTTAGGGCTATCGGGGCATTTGCTGATTATGAAGATCTTCGCGGACGAGTTATAAGTGAAGGCGCTACGAAGTTATGCTTAAGACTTTGCAAAGAAGCTACACCTGAAGGAAAAATAAAAGCTTCTCACGCTCTTGCAAAATTAGGATGCAAAGCTGATCCTAACATTGTATTTCCTGGACAAAGAGCTTATGAGGTCTAATTTTTCTAAATGTTAGGTGTATAATCTTCAACGTTCTCAGGTAGTTAAGCCTATGGTCGACTTGCTGCATCCTGAAGTAGACAGCAAAGCTAACTACGACGCTATTTTGACACTGACAAACTTGGTTTCCCGAACACATTGATAAATTATTTTACAATCTCTTCCAGGCAAGCATGTCTGATTCTGTTAGAACGCGGATCGTGAAAGAGAAAGCTGTTTACAAAATTGAAGAATTCTGGTTTATGACAGATCATGAACACCTCCGAGCTGCTGCTGCTGAACTGTTGCTCAATCTACTATTCTTGGATGAATTCTTCAAAGATGTGGCCAAACCCGGAACAGACAAGCTCAAGTTATGGGTACTCTATTCTGCAGAAGAGGATGAGAGACTTGCCCGCGCATCATCTGCCGGGTTCGCCATCCTAACTGAAGATGAAGATTGTTGTACAAGAGTCCTGCAAGAAATTCAGAGTTGGGTCGAAGTTTTCAAAGAGATCTGTATGCATGAAGATCCTGAGGTAAAACTTTGCTTCGAGGAATGTTTTTTAGTAAGACTTTCAGGTTCAACGACGCGGTATCATGGGAATTGCAAATATTATGAAGAGTAGTGAGAAAAATTGCTCTGAAATTGTTGCTGTAAGTGCCTAGTGCAATTTTAATAACTTCAGTTTTTCATTCCAGAGTGAGATATTCCGCATCCTGGTTGCTGTTTCAAAACTAGGAGCGAAAAATCAAGAAAGACTAGGATCCACAGAGCAAGCTAGTATCGCCCTAGAAGCAGCAGAAAAATTTGGACTAATCAAGGCAACGGATCGTGAGATGTTCGAGAGAGCGAACAATTTGAGTACAATTTCCGAATAAATGCCCTGAAACTTAATCCGAAAAATTTATATCGTGGCTGATTATAGCTAACTGAGATGTTTTTTTAATATAAATTCCTTTTGAACGTTTTACATCACCGCTTTACTACCATCATATCTCAAAACTTCTCAAAAATTCATTCGTTTCGCGTTTTATATATTTTTGAAGTTTTTTAAATGTCTTTTAATATCTGGGAAATGCCTTGTTAGTCGAATATTTGAAGTGCCTTGAATTGTAATGAAAACTGAGATAAATATGAATTTTATATATCTTCCTTCTTCCTGAACAATTGCAAGTGAAAAAAAACAATTTTTACGATCAACTGCCAAGATGAAGGCTGTAACAACTTTTAAAAAGAGAAGACAAAGTGAAGATTAGCCGTTTTAAGGTTGCTTATCGATTTCAATGATTTTAATTTTTTACAAAATTTACAAACATGTTTTTTGGGAAGTTCTATAAACTTGAAGACGACAATGATATGCTCAGTTATGGATTTTTCGTTAGTGGAAAGTTTGTATCTCAGAACCCGAAATTGTTTAACATAAAGCCGGACCAACAGTTGGCATAAGCACGATGACAACGGATGTTTTACCAGCAATTAATGATTGGACATATTCAAGTGTTCTGAAATTTATTACGTATTAGTTGATGAACAAAATGTTGAACAAACCTTCCTTTGACCAACTCATCATCAACATACAAAATTTCATCACCAATGGATAGCATGGGGGTTAACGATGGCAATGATACACGCGAGATGAATATTCCTAAAAGCGCAGACCACGATAAAATGAGAGTAGCTAACTTCCTATACCTCTCTGTCCGTTCATGACACCTGTGGCTATATAAAACCCAAATGGTCCTGGTTGAGTTTTTTCAACAAGAACCGTACGGAAACCTCGTTGATCTAAAGCAATAAGCTGGGCTCGAACTGATGGTTCTGTAGGAGGTGGAGTCGGTCTGAAATTTTATATTGCACGTCAAGTTTTTATAGCTGATACAGACCGGAACTCATCCAAAGAGTCTGGGTATCGACCAACACTAGCTGATCGTCTTGTTAAGGGCGGTGGAACAACACGTCCTCGGCAACGTCTAGAATTTCTCGAATGAGCCATAAACAAAAACTATTTGAGAAGTCAGGAAAATACCTCTGTTTGAGGAAAGCTGGCTGTCGTATAACTTCACGATTAGCATCTATAGCATCAGGAATGTTGATGTTAGAGCCCATCAAAGGAGCAACAGGTAATCTTCGACGTCTTTTCATAAGTTCGTCATGAATAGTGTTCATTGTATGATCTTGTTCAGTATTAACACGTAAGTTATCCAAGCTTCCAACCATCTGGTCCATTGGTCCTAATCTATTCATCTAAGAATTCCATATTGAACAAAAATTCTTTATATATATATCTATAACGTACTTGATAATCTAGCATCTGTGGGCGAAAACGAAAATCAGGAGTCGGTTCATAGCGTGAGCGTTGGGATGTTTGGTTTCCACGCGGTAACGAGGAAGAGCGGTTTCTCATTGTTCTTGAGAGGGTGTCTTCAATATTCTGACGAATAACCGAATCTCTAATTGATTCACGTCTAGGAGCATGTTCAAGAGATCTGAGAAAAAAATATTTGATGAATGTGAATTAGAAATACCTTAGCCGTTGAAGAGCAATGTTGTAAGATGGCGGACCGGGAAGCGATTCCACATCTTCTATTGTGAATGTGTTTGGTCCGGACATTCGACGAGTTGGTAGTGCTCGGGCTGGAAAAAAAGGAGTTGTTCAGTAAAAATTGTCATTTGGAAAATAATTCTCGTTTCTCCACCCTATGAAGACAACTGGAAAAAAAGGAAAAACGAATGAAACAGAGAAAGAAAGAGATGTGAAGATATTTATCTAATTTCTGTTTCAGAAAATTTTGTTTATTTACTCAAATTGAATTATTCAAAACTTACGTAAAGAATCGAACCGACGGTCTGATAAGGATTGTTCATATTTGGAGAAGTTATTGCTTGGAATATTGAAGGTTGTTGCATAATTGGTAACCGCTGTTAAACGGTCAACTGCTCTCGGAGAATTAGAATGTTCCGACGAAGCTGAGCTTGACGTCGAAGCTCCACTGTCTACCTAAAATTAATAATAGATAAGTGATTCGAACCTTGGCATTCAAATACTTACTTCATCAGCAAATCGAACACGAAATTGTGATTTACTCGATCGTTGCTGTGATTGAGCCGTTCCTGGACGTGGGGGAAGAGTTCGTCTACTGGGCTCGGAAGCTCCGTGAAACAGCCTTCTGAAAGAAGAGCATAAAAATTTCAGAGAAGTAAAGCAGTTTATTTGATATCCTTAAGAGACAGAAGTTGTTGCGAATGTGTGAATAAACAAATGTGGAAAACCTAATGTTTTTATGTCAAGAAAATGAGATTCCGAAGTATTCTAACTTTCAGAACCAGTAATTATTTTTTTTAAACAGCAAGAATATATTCAACAAACCTAGCACTATTTGGTGTCAGATAATCCCGATTTTCATCAGTTAAATGACGATAAATGTATTGAGGCTGGCTGGAGTAGGAGCTTGGAATTGAGGACTGTGATCCCTTTAATAATAGAAATAAAAATAATAAAATATGGTAATGCATTACTTGACGTGGCGATGATTGGTCAGAGTCTGCACAGATTCCACTGTCAGTATCGCTATCCTGGGGCGCGATGTCACCTGTAACAAAATGAACTTACTGATCATCTGATAAGCTAGGTACTGGTCAATTTGGTATAATAAAGTTAGAGTTAAAGTTGGTTTGGCGCAACAACTGAGTGAACAAACAAGAATGTATAGGAAAAGGAATTTATCAACCGAGCTGCATTTTTTTGAGCCTCAAGCTGTTGGACGCAAGAAAAAGCCGGACGGGATCATTCGAAGTCGCCGTGGTTTTGGGTTTACTGCGAACCACTTTTGCGGTCGACGTATTCAGGCCATTTGAAGGATTTGTTCTCTTCTAATCCTAAAATGAGACAAAAGCAACGAATAGACGGACACTTGGTCGAAGCAAAGAGGACCAAAATCAGAAGACATAGGAATGTATTGAGGAGGATGTGAAGAAGAGCTTTATAAGCTTCTCTTTTCTTCAGTTGCTCAAAAAAATCTTCATATGCATTCATCATTTGATAAAAAATGAAAGTGAAAGCTCCAAGGCAAAAGAAAAAGAAGTTTTCATGAATAAAACTGAACGAGAAACATTGAAAACAGCAAGAGATTGTGGGCAAAGGTTTTCTAAGTAAGTTTGAGAGCAGACGAGCAACTTAGCCTTCAGGCGTGTAACTCGAAAGCAAGAAGCTCTCATATTTCTTTCTATTTCCAAATTAATTCGCTTTTTTTGCATTCGCCCTCAGATCATTTAGAAATGTTTTGTTGTTTCAGTTGAAATTGCCTTGAACAGTGAGGATCACAGATGGCGGCAACCTGCTGATATTTGAAAATGATTTGATAATCACGAGTTTTTTAAGTCTATCATTTGTCCTTCGTAACTCACGTGCATTTGAATTCGGAAAAATTAATGAGGAAAATATAGCGAAAGAGAGAGAGAGAAAGAGAGAGAGCCATTTTAGTGTGTTCGTTTTCAATTGAAACTGCCACCTCGCTCATCTTATCCCTCTAGAGGCAGACAAAACAAAACTTAACACTGAGAAAGCTCACTTGATTTATGGATATGGATGTTCCATCTTTTTTTTTGTGAAGTTATTCAGTAGTGTTTTTTTCTTTCTCTAACAACATTCAGATGAAATAGCATTCTAGTAGTAGTATTAGTAGTTCAGAAATAAGGACATGATTGATCAGAGGATCTAAGAGAGTATACTGATGAAATCAAGATTTAATATACATACATACATATTTATATAATTTCCTTTCAAAAATGCGCAATATGAGAAGTGAGAAGCGCAACCCAACAGGAATAAAGATATGAAAATTTGTTGAGATGTCAGCTATGTTTGCAAAATTGGTTGAAGACGAAGCACATCCGTTTTTGGTTGAGCTTCTTCTTCTTCTCCTTCTTCTTCTTTTCCTTTTTTTTTCTTCCTTTTTCATCTCTCCGCTGTTTGATGATGAAAATGATGATGATTTCCATTTTGAATATCCCCTCTCCTTATTCACAATCATCGTTTCTCTGGCCATTCCTTCAATCATTTTTCAACTTTCCCTCTTTTACTTCAGAAATTCTGCATATTTTTTTCCTGCTCACAACGCGTCATTTCTTCTTTAGAAAGTGATGTTGGAAAAAGAAAAATGAAGGAGAACTGTGGTCAGAAAAGTATTTTAATATTTATTTTCTGAGTTGAGAGCAGTAGAGGGAAGGTTCGGTGTAAAAAAGGAATTAATATTGAGAGAAATGATACTCTATTGAGAAACAGAAAAACGAAATGTAGCAAATCGTTGCGCCGCCAATCGACCATGAAGATCCAAAAAGAAAAAATTGTAAAAATCTCATTTTTTCTTATTTGAAGAAAAGCATCAGAGACAAAGCAAATAATCGTTTTCGATAGTTTATGGCCTTTAATGAGCTATCTTCCTCTTCCTTGATTCAGTGAGAACAAGAAGGTAAATAATCTGCTTCTTTCTATATTTTAAGAATAGGGAGACGAATAGGGAGAGAATGAAGAAAAAAGTTTAAATGAAAGTGGAAACATATAAAAAATAACGAAAAAGAAGAAGTAAAGAAGAAGCTTTGAGGAAGAAAACTGGAATACCGATTGTCATTTGTTCGTTTGGATTGGCAAAAAGAGAGGAAAAATTGAGGGATAGAGGGAGGGAGGGAGGGAGAGAGGGAGGGAAGAAGGGAGAGAGAGAGACAGAGAGAGAAATTCTTTTTTTTGAGGAAATCTGTTTCCGATGATGATATTTGAGTAAAATTTGTTAGCTAAGGCATTATTCTTTCTCATAAAAATATATTTAAAAATGTATCTTTTGATGAAACGAGTTCTCTGACTGTATGACTGGTAGGCATTTTTGTTATTATTTTCTCTCTCACTTTCTCTCTCTCTCTCTCTTTCTATCCTTTTTTAGAGATTTGTAAATGCTAGAAATTCAATTGAGATTTGGCACAAGTCAGATGAAAGAGAGATGTTTCAGAATGCAATTCGTAAATGAAATAAATCTGATTGACAAAGACGTCATGAAGTTAGTTGTTTGGCTTTTCAATTTAAACGGACTCCATCTTCATCATGTCTGCATGCATTTTCATTAATTTTTTCACACAACCAACTGTTTTTATACGGAAAAAAAGAACTGCGACAAAGATGGCCTGCTTCTGATTCTCATCCGGAACGTTAATACGTTTCACAAAACTGGTGAGATATTATGAAGACGGTTGTGTTTATATATAAAAAGAAGAAGATAAAAGGAGGATCAGAAATTGACAACTGTTGAAAAAGAAGAAGTGACAGAAATAACAACAACCGTTCCAGCATCTCAAGATTATGTAAATGAGATATGTCTATGCTAGTTTTCAGTCTTCACGTATGCCATGTGGAACATTTGCATAACTAACATTACGTGAACTATGACGTGAAATGGACGGGGTCTTTTCGATGTATGATGTTCCAAAAAAAAAGAAAGCAGAAAACTACTACAGCATATAAGCTATAAGTAATAAAAAAAGGAAATTTATTTTGTGAATAACAAGAATATATGAAGAAGAAGAATGTGAGAGGGAGCAGGAGAAATAAGAAAAGAGAGAGAGAGAGGAAGGAAATTAAAATGAAGATTTTTTTTCTAAAAACGGAATGTTTAGTAAAGAAGAGTGTTGTGTAAGCTTCAAATCCAACAAGAAGAGATCGAAGTTGGTCAAAGGACATGTGCTATTCCTTAGTTGTCATTCATTTCTAAAGAAAAAATTGCAGACGATTCATCACAGCCGTTTGAAGCTTCACAAACATCATGAAAACCTTAGAAAACAAAGAGTTTTCATCATTTTCATATAAAGATTAAGTGTTTTCTCTTCTCCTGACATCATTACAGAAATTATGATAGTAATGAAAATATAAACACACGAATTGTTTACCTAATTTCATTTGGTTTGGTAACTGATATGACTTAGGCTTTGGGGGAGGCTGTGGCGGTTGTCGATGAAGAGTTGACGCTGACATCTGAAAGTGGTTAACTTTAATGCTTTAATTGTATATGCAAATATGTGTAAGACGAAACAAAGATAATCATGTGAATGTTTGATGATGTTAATGATACTGGCGATGGAGGACGACAGAACATTTTTTTATTATCTCTAAAGACGTGAGGTGTGGCTATGGGAACAGGAAAACCCGGATTTCAAAACATTTCAAGTATTATGAAGTGCAGAAATCGCTTCAGAACATTACTTTGAAAGATACATGAATCAATGAAAAACTCTGCATATGAGTAATCTATATAAGGTTTTTTCAAAACCAATAGACAGCGTAAGGATGATTTTCTTGAAAAAAAAATAAAAAAGGAAGCTGAAGCAGGTAAAATATCTGGATGCTTGGAGTAAATGGAACAAGACAACAATGGAAATGGCTCCTTCTACAGCTTTTCATTCGGTAAAGAAGGGTTAAAGATGAAAAAAAATGCAAAAGAAGAGAAGTGGAAATAGAGACGAGCAGGATAAGACATGATCGACAAACAATTGTCTTTTAGTTAATCAAACCTCAAATAGAAAGAAACAACAAAAAACAGTCTTTCTGATGATTGGAGATGGTGAGGAGAAGCATATGAGTTTGACAGCTTTTTCACATTTGAATATAAATGACAAACAAAAACTTTAAATAAAAACTAGGAAACGGAGAGCTCTTGAGTGTCATTTTCTTAAATTCCAGAGAGAGAACAGAGATGAAGACGACTGGAGAGAATCATGAAAAAAAGAATCAAAGAGAGAACTTTTGAAGAGCATGTAAGAGAGAAATATAGGTTCTTATAGAAAAAAATAACTGGTTAAAGTTCACCAACAACATAATAAGCTTGACCTTCAAAGAAAGAAGTTGATGAAGAAGCCAACCACCAATCTCTGTCCACCCCCGAAAGGGAATGTTCAAAAAATGTGGAAAATAAGAATTGACAAATAAAACGATTTTATTGTTAAAAAAAGAAGATGTACGGTGTGTGATATGAAGCGATCCAACAATCATCATTCTGCTCGTTTATTTGTTCCTCACATATCGTGTGTCTAAAAATGGCAAAAGACATAAATCGGTTGGTCAGCACACTTTTTTGTTGGAAACGGTTTAAACAGAGGAGGTACAAGAGATTTAGAAAAAAGCACATCGAAAGAAGGGGGTTAGAAGGTAAAAATAGCACAAAAGTACTGGCGGAGAGAATCGAGGAGAATTATAGAGATGGAGGGAGAGTTGTACCAAAGGGCATTCAAGAAGAGATTGTGGTAGAGAGAAAGATTAAATGATCGGATGGAAAGGGAGAAGAAAACATTGTTTATCAGAGAAAAATGAGGGTTAGTTGAGGAGAAAAGAAAACGCTTAACAGGGAGAAAAGATGTGATTGAGAGAAAATGAGCAAAGAGACGTAAAAGGGAAAGGAGAATTTGTGTGTGTGTGCGAGTTTGTCGTTGAATAAAGGAGTATAGCCATAAAAAAATGACAATGATTTTACGAATAACAAATAAACAAACAAATACATGATGGTGACGGTGGACGACGACAAACGATTTCGAAGCACACGAGAAGAAAGATGAAGACGACAACGATTATGAATTTTGGAGGAAATGAAGTTGTCTTGAAAGTTGTCACGAAAGGCTTTTCTTTCAGCAGACTTCTGTGAGGAGGTGGAGAAGGAACAAAATTTTTTTCTACTTTCATTGGTTTGAGCTGAGGTTGAGTGGATGATAAGGTGAAGAGTTAACAGCAAATGAATCGGAATCCGGATTGAGCCGGAAACAACTTCTTAGAAATCGGAGGTGTTGGAATAGGAACAGGAGGTGAAGTGCATAGTTAACATTCTACATTCCGTGAATATATGAACAAAGAGAGAGACAGCTGAAGAGAGAGGTATTTGTTAGAAGAGAAAAACAAAGTAACGTCTACGATTAAGGGAATAATCCATCTCAATCCTTGAAATTTGTCGTCGTTGCGAAGTTGTCGAAGACACTACTTATACATAAAAAGACACATATTTAACTAGAAATATGGGTGATGTGTCCTTATGCAGATACTTTCATAAGCAAAAATCGCTAATCTTTTGGAAAAACAGAAATTTGATAGTATAAGAATATTTTTCTTTTGTAATTCCATGTAAACCTACAGAAAAGTACAGAAAAAATGGTTTGAAACCAATAATGAGAATGAGATTGTTTGAGATGTTGACTGTGTTAGAGAGTAAGAAGGTGGTAGAGAAAGTTTTCTAAACAAGGCCATAGAGAGCGTATACTGTCCGCCTGGGAAAAGGTGGGATTTATGAAGAAACGGTCGAAACCACAACGATGCCCTTGAATGGGCATTAGACAGTAGAGTAACGTCGATTTGTGACAAGATTTCGAGTGAAAGAGTGCTGAGAATTAAATGAGAATAACTAGAATAACATTCAAACACAATATAAAAAGGAAAAAAGAAATAGAGAGGGAATGAGAGATCTAGAACGAATAAGAGAGAGAGAGAAAGAAAGCAGAAGACGGAGGAGAGAGGGGAAGAATGGAAAATGAGGTGAAGAAGATGAAGAGAATGTATTTTGGTTACTTAAGAATCTCATAAACAACCTGACTTATAAGTTGATTGATAGGTTCTTCAACCAAATGGTCAAAATAATTTTAGATATTTCCTCATTTTCCTATTCTTTTTTTTTTGTGGTCGAAGACAATCAGACAGAAATGAAAGACAAAAGGATAATTGATGGTTTAATATGTTTTTTTCAACTTCCTACTCAAAAAAAAAGTGGTTGGCGTTGTCAATGTTGCAGAAAGAAATGTGATAGAGGAAGAGAATTTTTTTTTCTTTTTTAGTCTTAGTTCGTCATAAATTGGCTAAGAAAATATAAAAATGGGCGAGAAGCACAGAAAAACTTGAGAGGGACATGATGAGGCTATCTTTGGATAACAAAAAAAGAAGAGATAAAGAGAGAGAGAAAAACTGGGAAACAAAAGCTGGAAGAGTACTTGAGCTTAAAATACAAGAATATATCTCAAGGGGAATGATAGTTAGAAGAAAACCGAGAAGATTTCTTGTGAATATTGGCAACATGATGACAATTAGCTGAAATCGGGAAGAACTTTATTTGGCCAGAATCAAGAAGAGATGTGAAGGAATAGGTGGTAAAACTAGCAATTTAAGGAATCTGAGTAAAAGAAAGACAAAAAGCTGTGAGAAGAAAAAAAAGAAAGAAAACGAGAGACAGAAAGAGACTGGAAGAGAGGAGCAGAGGGAGAGAGAGAGAGAGAGATGAGGAGAGAGTAGATGCGGAGGAATGAGAATGAGTAGAAGATGGAATTACATGAAAACTTTAATTTTAAGACATCAATTACCTTGATTATACAAAAAGCTTAATGGAAAAATGAAAGAAAATTATGAAAATCTTGATTGAGTTGAAGTGGAGCATGAAACGAACTTTAGAAAAACAAATTTTTTGTTTCGAACTTGAAAGAACGAAGGAAGTTCTTATAATATGCCTTATATGAGGCTGGAAGGAAAACATTTCAAATGCAAAAAAAATGTTTTTTTTTATGAAAACAAAGTTGATTAAAGAGAGAGTTGACAAAGCCCAAAGAACGAAAAATGTTGAAATGAGATATTCCTCCTCTTTTCATAAAGAACAATGAGGAATTTTTAATCTGAAATCAAATAAGGAAATAAATATTTTAAACTGCTTTAAAAGGTTTTTTTCTTCAAAACAATAGAAAAAATGAAACTGAGAGAGAAACGGAGGCAGCCGGAAATGATAGACAAATGAAGATTCCATGATCGCACTAGAGATGTGGATACTTCATGTAGCACAAGGAGATATTCAGAGATACTAATAGTTGAAAAGAGTATAGTTATGTGATATGGCTATTTCAGAGTAAGAGAAATAAAAAAAAACAAATTGTGAGAGAGAAAGAGAAAGATTTAAGTAAGTTCTATTAACTTCTTAATTAAATGACGTCAATTCTGTGAAAGCAAAATAAGATGGGCTGAAGAGAAGAAGCTGAGATATCAGATGAAAAACATCTTCTCTATTCAAATTAACCATTCGTCACATTATAATTTTGAATAATTTTTGAAAAAAAATCTATTTTCTTCTCATTAAATTCTTCAAAAACAATCAAATCTCTCAAGCTTTGCAAGCTGCTCGAATATTTTAATCTTTCAGTGTTTTCACGTGTTTCAAGAACATGGTATGATTTGTCAAGGTATGTTTAGTGGAAATGTAAAAAATTAGTTGAGTGAAAAAGGATAAAAAATAGAGAGAGATAGAGAGAGAGTGAGATATAGAGAGAGAGAGAGTGAGATAGAGAGAGAGAGTGAGATATATATAGAGAGAGAGACTGAGATAGAGAGAGATTGTGATAAATCTTACGCCTTTTTTTAGTTCTCTGTCTTTGGGCAGCGTCTCTCTGTCGATTTCGCATATTTTTATTCCCAAAAGAGATATTTCGAATCCAGGCTATGAAAGCTGTTAGAATACATAAGAAAACACGCATACGGAGAAGCAAATGAGGAGGATGAGAAAAGAAAAAAACTGAGAAGGAATAAACATAAGAAGAGGTTGGGAAAGAAAAAAAGGATAGAAAGAGATATACAAAGAGATGAAAACGTGAAAAAAGATATTTCAAGTTAAATAAGGACATCAGATACTCTTTGATAAACTCTTTATTGACGACACCAAGCAAGTCCATGCGGATGAACTCATCCGAAATTCAAAAATCTGACAAGTATGCTAAGTTTTGAAGTTGGAAAGGGCAAAAATTGAAAGACAAAGAGAAAACATCTTGGAAAAAACAGGTTTTCCGTCTGATTAGCATAAGCAATCACGGATTATAATTATAATCATACACTGTATCTAGCAGTGTTCTCTATAAAAACTTCATTTTTTTCTTGTTTGACATCGTTCTTTTCGAATTTCAGCTTTTAAACCTAAGCTTAGAACACTCAAAAATCAGGAAATTCTGTGTGAACAAGGTAGCTTCTCCTCC